TTTTTGGTTGAAAAATGAACAAACTTCGGCCAACTTCGTGTTGTATTACTTTTGCACAGCACTATGCTTAGATAACGAAGGCACATTACAGTTAGACTGCCATAACTTTAATGCCCTCTTTCATTCCTTGGGATAGAAATTTTTCAAAAAATATATTGTTTACCTAGTGGTTGTGGAATGCTTTTAGCTCGCTAGGTGTTTCCGCTTTAACAAATGAGGCTCCTTTTCCCACAATTCTCATAATTCTTTCTTTCATGCTCAACAGGAAGATATATTTGCTCTGGAAGCCGCTGAACTTGGAAATCTTTTTAAAGTGAAGCTTCGCCATGACAATTCTAAAATTAGTCCTTCTTGGTTTGTGGATCGTGTGGAGATTCGAGACCTGGAAACAGACAAGCTTTATCCTTTCGTCTGTGAGAGATGGCTGTCCAAGAAGAAAGAAGAGGGAAAAATTCAACGTACACTTTATGTAAAAGGCTACGAGGTATACCTTCTAAACGAACCACGTCTTTCAGTCGAGAAGTTTTCATTGAGTGTAGCAAGTAACTCACATTTACTTTGGTTTTGCGTTTCCACGCTTACTGATTGGCCTAAGACTTCCTCATATAATAAGAAGTAAAACTAACACCAACTGCTCTTTGCTTGCACCAGTTTTCCCGCGCTTCGCGCAGGACACATGTGTGGTTGTGTGGTTACTTTGGTTTGCTTTTACTTCACACATTTGAAAAAAAACTGTAGTGCATATGTCCCTGTTTGTTATGTTGTTGGAACAAACTGGATTTACTAAATCCGAAACTGGATTAGTTAACAGGAACGCTCCCTTAATTATGACTCTTGGTGGTTGGATAGCTGTTCTTGGTACTCACGTCACTCGCATGTCAATTACGTTTACCTAAATGGGTTCTATCTTGCTAATCCTTTACAGTTAGTAAAACTAAGGGAATAAATCACTGGCTTTTTCATTAAAAATCTTCTTACAATCCCCATCTTGGAATGATTGTATTGACGCAATTGGTAATTGTAAATTGCCGACATTGGCGACTCGCTCTGTCGGACATGGTATTCTCTTTTCATACGGCAAGAATCTTGAATGTCAAAAGCAAGCCTTTAAGACTTGTCTTCCCATAATCCATTGGGTCGCGATCGTCTGTTTCCATATACGTTTTACCTGACTGTGACAGTGTTCTTTTTGCAATCAACTGTGTTCATTGTGTGGTTAATTTCAACATTGGGGACTGTGGAGTTAGAGCTTATACCAATCGTGTCATCGCTTGTTTTCGTTTCTCAGGGTGAACGCTCCACACTGGGCGCCATGAGTCTCGGGTCCTTGAGCCAAAGCAGCAGCCTCAGTCCTCGGAGAAACAGTCGGAGCAGTCTCGGAGGCAGTCGGAGCTCGTTACATCGAAGCAACGAAAGTTTACCGACGGCAAGCCGAAGTGCAACAGCCGATGCTATTTTTATGGAGGAGTTTGGTAAAGGCGAGAAGGAAGCAGCGGCTCCTCGTGAAAGTAAGCGACAAGCTGGAAAGAGTAATTCTCCTTAGCTATTTCCTTAAATTTCTTTTTATGTTAGTGCTGAGAATTTTGGTGCAACATTGAGATAATGTCTCGAGATAGTTGATGATTTTCGTTGTTCTCATCAGCTGTGTTGCCATTTTAAGAGAAATAGGCCTTATTCGTATTCTCGTTTTTGGACTGGAACTACAACTGTAGCTTTTAAAAGAGATAAATGTCATTTGCATTTAAAAAGACTCCGCGCAATATCGGGGATACGGATATGGCCTATTAGATTGAGAAGAAGTGTAATGTCTATAGGATGGAATAATTTATTTGTATTTGCTTCCCTGATGGTCATTTATTTTTGTTCTAATTGCTTAAATCCAGCGCGAAAGAGTGAAATTGTCGCTTTGTTTGATATCAGGACGTGTAAGCGAACGGCAACGACGACAACGTAATGTTCGGTTAAGAAAATTTAATAAACTTTCTGTTAGTTTTCTAGAGAACGTGAGCTGAGAGAAAGTAAATTTGCCATATGTGTGTTTGGACTTAAAGTCGTCTTCACTTATTCGGCTGTTAAACAACCAGTTTTATAAATTTGATTTTTTATACAGCTTTCGTCCTCTGGGTAGATTTCGTCAAAGATTGCTTTTAGTTGATCATATCATGGCGGAAACTATGTACAGTGAAGTTTTATTTATATTTATGGTTGCTCCAAGGACTGACAAATATTCGTTTCTTCATTTTGTTTTTCTCACAGCTATCGCTTATACCATCCGCGTGACCACAGGCGACCAATCAGATGCGGGCACTCAAGCGCAGGCACACATAGTGCTTATGGGCAGTGAAGCGGCTTCTGAAAAGATCCCATTAGTGCTCATACAGAGAGAAGGATTCTCTCCAGGCCTAACGGAGACGTTTTCTATAGAGGCTGCAGATGTCGGTGAAGTGAAGAAAGTCGAGCTGTCTCACAATGGTTATGGCGCAGACAGCGGCTGGTTTGTGAAGGAAGTTGAAGTAGATGTGCCGACCAGCGGTAAGAAGTACTTCTTTCCTTGCAACAGATGGCTGTCACAGAACAAGGAAGATGGAAAAGTGGTGCGAGTGCTGTCTGCGTCGGACGGTCAGCTTGTCACTTATAAACCACGTAAGTTCGTTGGCGTGTTGTTGGCTTGTCGACATTTTCAACAACTTTCGTGAACGTAAAACAAGAGGCCATATTCGTGTTGTCGGTATTGGACTAGAACTAGCTTGCAATAAAGACTCACGCGGGGTAGTATCATGAAAAAGAGATTTATATATGCATTCGAACAGACTCCCCACATTAACCTCAGTTGAAAACTAGTGCCAGTCCTATACCGAGAGCACGAATATGGCCTATTACTCCGGTCGCAAATAGCGTTTCAGTTTTTATTATCGCACACTATTTACCGAAAAACAACTTAACGTAAAATGGTTTACAATGATATAGGAAAATAAATACAGATGGAAATTAACTAGAAGAAACAATATTTAATTGTGAACAGTGACCAAAGTAGCCAATGATCTTTCGAGTTGAGCGTAATACACTAATAAAAAAGCTTTGATAGTAACCAGTAGAAGCGCGAGAAAATTTGACTGGTAGCAAGTGGGGGAAAACATGTAATCAAAGGCAAACGCCGGAAACCTTGTAACCAGTAGGAAGCGCGGAAAACATGTAACCAATGGAGAGTGCGCGAAAACTGCAGCATCATTTTCACAAACAGTGCTGAACGCTGCCTCGCATTTGATCAAGAAATGGCTTCCTGTCTTTACGTGGAGTTCGTTTTTTTGGTCATAAAATATGAAATTGTAATCGTATCGTTCGTTGTCTCACAGATGTGCCACACGAGATCACTGTGTACACGGGTGACGTGAAATCAGCAGGAACAGATTCAGCTATCTCCCTGACATTGTTCGGATCTGAAGGTACAACTCCAGAGTTTGTGCTCGATAAAGATGAATCCCGCTTTGAACGAGGCGGTGTTGATCTCATAAGAATGGACCTCGATGATGTGGGAAAACTGCTGAAGGCCAGAATCGCAGTCGACGGCAAAGGAACACGTCCTGATTGGTTCCTGGAAAAGGTATTTTCATTTTTTTTTTTTTAGCTCACCGAGGATTGAATTTTGCTTTATATTTGTAACGTCACAGAGCGATCTTTACTTACTTCGGTGTCGGGTGATGTTTGATTTTCTTGTATGTGTGTTGTATTGAAGTTAAATTCAGTCTTCCAGACATAAAGATAAGACCAATTGAAAACGTTTGTGCCATTTACTTGCTGTTAGAAATACGAGAGGAACACGTTGAAAATTGGAGGACATTTTCTGTTGAAAAACGTTGAACTTAAAGGCTTTCAACTATATTGCGTCGATCACACCTCCCAATAACATTTTTTCCATATTTATACTGATTCAGGTAACAAAGTGATAATGGAATCCTCAATAAAAGCAAAGAATGCTGGAAATTATAGATCCTTGCAAAGACTGGACACATATACTCAACTGTAATATACATGTAGCTATTAATTATTAAAAGGAAAACTTATCATGTCATAATGTTAAGACCTGGTCATAATTGTAGAATAACCTGCAACTTTTAAAGCCTTTCAGTTCAAATTGACACTTTAACTAAACATTTCGTGCTCTTTCTAGTCATGATATCTGTGTTAAATTCAGGAGGAAAAACTAAAACGTAGGTAGCGGCAATTTGAAATTCGAGAAAACAATAACTTGTATGTTTTTATTTATTTATTTATTTTTTAAACAGATAATAATAAGAAACATGGAGACCCACTGCGTGAGCGTGTTTAAATCCAATCAGTGGTTTTCCAAAACAGGAGATGGAAAGTTAGTCCAAGAGATACCGGCTGAGGTTGATGGCGAAGAAGTGTTGACTGGTAAGTTGATATCAAAACGCCAAAATACGCGTTGCCTGCGGATTAGGTGGAAAAATATTCACGGCGACTGTTATGTAATTCCACGAGTAGTTTGGGCGAGTCAAATAATAGTTATCAACCCGAAGAATAAGCTTTACAGCGATACTGCACACAAGGAGTTTTGAACTGTTTTCCCCACCAAAATCAGACTAAATGTCCCAAGATTTTTTTTTCTCGCTGACTAGGGTTTGATAATAAATGACAAAACAAAACACTTGGGCCAGATTCCGTCTGTGGTGAAACTTTCTGTAAAACTGGTCTACAGGCGTGGTTGCGGAGTCATTCTAATGTCCCAGATTGTCAGCAGCGTCACTCAATCTCGTTCTTAGACCCCTTGCCTTCGACGCTCGACGCTCTGGAAAATAGTAAAAACAAACCGGAGTCAGAAAATCCTCTTTCTGGTTTGATTTTGCGCCTGCGTCCTAGTTGAACAATGGCTTTTAAACATGAGTAGCGAAAGCAACCGCTGAGCCAGATCAGTTCTGGCTCAATTTCCAATTTCGCCCAGAGGTCTTAGTCTTGCCGCTCACCAGAGAGAGTTAGAGAGTGCTTTCCATTCAACCGATAATTCTGGAATTTTCGAAACGGGAGCAAATGGTACGGAAATTCCTTTGGAAAGTTTCCAGAAAATCCGAAAATTGTTAAATTTCCGAAATGCGACCCATTCAACCGGAAGTTCCGGAAATTGCGAGATAAAAATCAAGGGGAATAGAAATTTCTGATAATAAATGTTCTAAAATTTGAGTATAGCTCGCGAGATTGTCTTCTTTCCCGGAGTTTGTGGAAAATGCCCTTTCATTCGCCACCAGAAATTTTCGGAAATACAAAACGGAATTTTTGGTTGAATGGAAAGCGCCCAGATATTGAGTCTCACCTTGCATTTGTTTATTGGGGTCGTGAAGAGGAAAGATTGCGTGACAAGCTCATAGCGCGTCAGCATATAGGACGCTTACTGTTATTGGTTTGTTCTCAATTCTGCAAACAGAGACTTCATATAAGGTAAACGTAAAGACCGGAGATGTGATTGGAGCTGGGACAGACGCTAACGTGTTCATGATTATTTTTGGCGAAAATGGCGACAGTGGAGAGCTGGCTTTGAAGAACTCTGAAACATACAAGGATAAGTTTGAACGGAACCATACTGATGTCTTTACCTTCAAGAACTTACTTAGTTTAGGTAAGTGACAAAGGAAACTTGTTTCTGAAAAAAAGCCCATTTGTTCTTCACAAATGTTTGAACCTTACGTCTTCCAGAGCACTCGATTATTCTACTGCTTGTAAAGTACCTGTAACTTTATTGTAGATCTTGAAATAAAATAAAAATTCAAAGCAGTGGTCTGAAACATGATTGACGTTCAAGATATTAATTAATAACAAATGGATTCCATGTTGCCGTGCGTCTGTTCAGTAATTAGGGACTTTAAGCAATGACGACGGCGACACCAGAGACGACGCCTAGTAAGAAATGGATGTTTTTTTACCTTCGGACTTCGTAACTATCTGAATCTGTTCAGCACGCCAGTCAGTCTGAAAACGTGCTCAAACTAAATATTTAATGCCAGTGAGTGATCAATTCCAAAAAGGAATACGAAAAATTAGCCGTCGTGGCCTACGTTCTCCAAAATACTCAGAACTTGGTCATTTCACGTTGTATGTTTTGCAGAGGAAAGCTCTGAAATGTACAAAGATTTAAAACGCACGTGTATGGCCATTGTTCTGCTCATTATACCTTTTGTTTGGTGGCGTTTTCGTTACCGTTGCCATCGTAGTTTACTTAAGTTCCCTATATTGATGACAGATGACGTTAAAATGTGGTAAGAACAAAACAGTGACAAACGAGGCGATAGGCGCGTGTGTCAATTTCTGAACAGTCGCGAAGCAACATGGATTTAATCAAGACATGAAACAAAATGTTAATTACTTCATCCATACGTCTTTCCTCCGATTGATCATTGATTTCGAATTGATTTCGACAGTGTAGGATTTGAAAAACCCGATTTGTCACTTTTCTTAATTAAAGAAGGAAGTCATTAATCATAGCATCCTGGGTTTGCTGTACAAAAAGTGTTTTCAATTGCTATACTGCAAATCAAGCGTATTTTATTGACAAAAGTTTGAAGAAAGTGAATCATTTGTACTTTTATTGTTACTTCTTTCTCAGGTGAACTTACCAAAGTCCGCATTTGGCATGACAATAAATTCCTCGGGGCAAACTGGTTTCTTGAAAACGTGGAAATCGTCGACGAGTCCAACAATGAAAAGTATCATTTTCCCTGCAACCGGTGGCTCGCTAAGGATAAAGATGATGGCAGCCTGATAAGAGAGCTGACTTGTGCAAACGCTAAGAAAAGTAATGATTCACGGTCACCTACAAGTAAGTAACTGGCTTGACTGGTTATTGTATGTGAAGAAAAATATGTTATCTGTTAGCTTTTTCTGAATGGGCCACTATCGTCGCGTTTTAGCAAATAAATCGTGATCGTACAAGCCTGAGGAAAAATAGTTGAATTTGGAGAACAGTATTTTTAATTTACGAATCATAAGAATCCACGAGAACAAGGGAGGAAGTGGATTGTTAAGTAGATAATCTTGTTGCAATATGAATTTATGTACAAATTATGTACTTTTTATCATTAAGGTGGAGTTAATTGCCTATATTACTCCAAAACCGGAGGTAGCTTTTCCTCCATTTTGTTTGTTTT